CGAGCGCCCCGGACGCCTGGATGGCGGTTGGACCCGCTCAGGGCACGTACAGTACCAACCAGTAGCGCACAAATCAGCGGACGACAAATCCACGTTTCCTTCCCTCTCCTCTCTTTCTCCATCAATAAACTGTTACGGACGCGGGAGCGTGCGGACTTGTTTTTCTGAAATCACATTGTTCTTCCTTTAAATCCCAGTGAGCAGTTGACGCTCCTCGATGCTGTTGGACTCCCTCCATCAAGACTCGCGGTCTTGCGCTGGCTGGTTTGCTCAGTGGATAGAGCCTCGGCCTGCGGACTAGGGTCCCGGGTTCGATTCCAGCCAAGGGCACATCCTCGCCCCCAGTTGGGGGCCTCCAGGAGGCAGCCAATCAATGATTCTCTCTCATCATTGATGTTTCCATCTCTCTCTCCCTCTCCCTTCCTGAAATCAACTATTAAAGAAAAAAAAAAAGACAAGACTCGCGGTCTTTCAAGAAACATTAGGTCCCAGTAACCGTTTCCCACGCCCCGAGAGAAGGGCGGCGTTCTGGGGGAACGGGGAGCCGGGCCTGCGCTCGGCCCTTCTGGTCTCTCCAGGGTTGTCCTGACAGCCCTTCTCTCTCCGTGGCCGTGGTGGTGGGGGGGCTGCTGAGCGTAGGCGTGGGCAGGAGGACCTGTTGGGGAGGTTTCAGTGGCCCCACTGCATCTCCAAGGTGCCTTCCGTCCTGTCCCCTGTTGGGGAGGTTTCGATGGCCCGCCTTCCCTGCTGTACTGTGGCCTTAGTTGTTGCCCACGTTCATTTCTGCTTTGTCACTTACTGTGAGCTTACCGAGGGCAGCTCATGTGGGCACTGTAGGAAGCTGCGAGGTGTTTACAACCAATGCTCTGGGATGAAATGTGGCCGGATGTGGAGTGCTTGCTGGCCGCTGTGGTGTCAACACTCCTGCGTGGCCAGTATTTGAGGGGAGGAGGAGTAGGCACAGGTGGCGTGAGAGCCAGAGTGGGGAGTGGGGGGAACTAGAATGGTCAGCATGCCCCAGACAGCGGGGGTCAGGCGGGTCTTGGTGCCTGGGCTCGTTTTCAGGCTTGTTCAGGTAGGAGGAGTGTCGCCAGCCGGGTGTGAGCTTTGTGCATGTTCTCCAGACCCGGGGAGTGCCCCTGCCACCTGCTGGACCTTGGTCTGTGCCTTCTTCCTGGGCTTTAGAGCCTCCCTGAAAACTCCGAGGTTGGCCCAGATCTGGAACCTGGGAGGATGGAGAAGATGAAGACACATGCAAGGACATGCAAACTCACTTTTAGAGCCACTGTCCAAAAGCTTGGGCTTTGATGCTCATGCTGTGCCAGGAAAACCAGGGGATTGTGAGTCTAGCTGTAGTAACTCCCGTTCCTCTGCAGGTACACAGGCGGCTGCATCAGCCATCGTGGCCTTACTCTCACCCAGAGCCCTGAGCCTTGCCACACCCCATGGTGGGTCAGGTGGGAGGGGAGCAAAATGGAAGTGCAGGAGCCCTTTCCTTCCTCTGGGCTGAAGGCTTCCATGCGTTAACTCTGGAGCTCAGAGCTAAAACCCTGTCTTCACCTGTGTGTGAGCGAGGGTAGGCTTGAGGGTGAGGCACACACACACAGAACTCCTTGCCCTGCCCTCACAGCTCGGTGATCTTGGGTAGGCAGCTTAACCTCTTCACATTTCAGTTTCCCAACTTACAAAATGGAAATGCTGACACACACTTGACAGGTGTCTTCACAACCACAAGCAGACCTTCCGGTCTCTTGTTTCCATTGCCAGGCCAATTGCTCCTGAGGCCTGGAAGCCCTCCCCCGGGAGGATGCACGTGTGGCCAAGGGGTGTGGGTGCAGAGCAGCCTCCGGCACACAGCTCTGAGCCGCTCCTTGTGTTCTAGGAATTGAGTGACCTGCAGAGGGATCCTCCTGCCCAGTGGTCCGCAAGACCTGTGGGAGATGACTGTGAGTATTCTCTTCCAGGCTCCAGGTCACAGGGGCCTTGCCATCAAGACCCCGAAATTTACTAGCCCAGCTGTTTCCTAAGAAAACTCGTTGTTTTCCCTCATTTGCTCGTGAACTGCTTTTTCATTAGACGCATTGAGTTCATAGCCTGGCTGATGAGGATGGTGCCTGACGTCACCACCCCTCCACCGGGGCACCTGCAAGCACATTGGCTTCTGGAAAGTGCCTCTGACCAACGAAAACATGGGTTGTTGGTGTGAAGTGGTCATGAAAGCGGTGGTGCTGCTGCACGTGGGGCACCTGGCCTCTGCCAAGGGCGGGGTGGGCAGGAGGGCCTGTGCTTTCCCCCACTCTGGTCCTCCCCGGGGAGCAGCAGGCAGCCCTCGGCTCCTCTACAGTTGACCGGCCGAGGCCCAGCTGCCCAGCTCATGGGCCCCCAAGTACATGTTCTGCTCCCACCTCACCTCCACTCTCACTCATCATGACTATGAGATGGTGTCAAAGAGGGGGTGTCCTGCACAGACACCAAAGAACTGAAAACAGAGACTCCAGCAGAACTCGAATGAAGGTACTCAGTCACCAAAGGCCCAAGTGCCCAGCGACAGGTGAAGGGGTAAGTAGAGTGTGGTGTGTCCACACAGCAGCGTGTGGTTAGCCACAGAGAGGAAAGGAGTTTTGACTTGTGCTGTAAGACGGATGAGCCTTGAGAGCATGCACGGTCACATAACCCTTACACAAAAGGGCTAACATGTGGTCCCGGTTGGGGAAATACCTAGAGTAGGCAAGTGCCTGGGACCAAAAGTGGAGGGAGCTCATGGAAGTGGAGAGAGGCAGAAACGGTGCAGGAATTCTGTTTGGAATCATGAAAGATGTGTCAGAATGGGCAATGGTGGTGGCTGGGCAACACTGATACACTTAATACCGCTGAACTTCTCACTTAAAGTGGCTAAGATGACATTTTACGTGTTTTGGGTTTTTTTTATTGTGTGAAAATGCACATAACGTTTACCATCTTAACCACCTTTAAGCACACAGTTCAGTAGTGTCAAGTACATCCACACCGCTAGGCAGCCACCGTCACTATCCATCCTGGTAACTCTGTCTTGTCACCAATGTGTTACACATGTTACTGCAATAAAGAAGAAAGTGTAACTTCACCAAGCTGGCAGGAGAGAGGCGGTGGGGTCACATGCACGTGCTCTGGGCTGCAGCACTGAGAGTGGATTGCGAAGGCGCCTGTGACAGTCTGGTGAACAGGGCGGCTGTGGTGCCGCTGTTTCCTGGTCCTGCTTGGCACCTGCCCCGTGCGCTCTCTCCAAGCATCCAGGTCTCCGTAGCATAGTTTCCCGTGTTACCTGTCACAACAATGCCACACGAGGGAGTCTGGTAAGATGGAGCTGGTCCTGACTCAGCCCAGCTCCCTGGTGGCACGCTCACCTTCGCGGCAGACCCGTGCCGGAGGCAGCGTCGTTGCTGGAGGGCGTCCTAGTCCCCCTCCCTGCTCAGCACCCGGCTGAGGCGTATACAACCTTGGACACACCTAAGCTTTTGGGCTATTCCATGCCTCCCTGTGGGCAAGCAGCCCCTTTCCAGCATCCCTGCAGTTTCCTTTCTCTTCCTCTATTTTGGGGCCTTCTCTTCTCACCCGGCCTCAAGCCCTGTGCAGCCCCCTCAGCCCTCAAAGGTCCCAGAAGAAACCACTTTCACTCTCTACTTCTCCCCATGGGCTCCCAGTCCCTCGTGTTACTTATCAAAAACATTTAATAAGGAATTCCATTCTACAGTATTAGGAAAGGTATATCCACCTGCCAACCACAGCTAGTAATTAGCACTAGTTGGCATAAAACCAGTCAAAAGCAAAAGAAGTGACACTTCGGTCGGCTCAGGCAGCGTTGTTACAGGTAAAGTGTGCGCTTTGTACCAGTTCCTTGAAGTATTGAAAAGGTCCTGGGTGGCCGTGACTCCTTTGGCACCTATAGGTTCTGGAAAACCTCCCTTTAGTCCCTGCACCTGCCCCTCCTTGTGCCTTGATGATTTCCTGTTCTGCTTTCAAGGGAGAGTGGGGGGGGGGGGGGGGGGGGTATTTGAACAGGTGGCAGGAACCCAACACGTCTGAAACTTTGGGTTAATTCCCACCACCCTGGAGCCATAAGACAGAATTCCCTAGAGCAGTGGTTCTCAACCTTGGCTGCACATTAGAATCACCTGGGAATCTTTTTAAAATCCTGATTTCTGGGCCTCATCCTCCGGAAATTCTGTTTCTTTGTTATGGGGTGGGGCCACAACATTAGTAACAAAGAAACAGAATTTCCGGAGGATGAGGCCCAGAAATCAGGATTTTAAAAAGATTCCCAGGTGATTCTAATGTGCAGCCAAAGTTGAGAACCACTGCCCTAGAGAGTGACACATCCCTCCAGTGGTCTCAGTAGTCCACTTGGTGGTCGGGATGTTCCACAAAGATGAGTCACTGCCCTGGGAGCTTGGAGGTGAGTCATTGCCCCCACCCCCGCCCCCAGGCCAGCCTTGCCGAGTGCTCTGGAGCTTCTCTGGGACTGAGATGCAGAGAGAGCACCAGGCATGATGTCACCGAATCCCCAGAGCGTGGGCAATGCCAAGGGCGATGTGGGAGAGACACCATGGAGGGTGGCCCCATAGAGGTTCCAGAGCCAAAGGCATGGCTCCTGAGAGACCCTTGGCAGAGGGCTTCAGAATGACCCAGGGAAGGAGGGAGCGGAAGCGATTTATAAAAAGGAAGATGGAAAATGGCCGAAGCCTTAATTCTGTGCAAAGAGGAGAGGGAACCGTTGGTGTAAAGAATTTAGTTCTGTCGAAGATCTGCCTTTGTCCTCAGCCTCGGGAGGTGATCTCTGTGATTTCCTGCCTGTTGGACAGTCCCTGCCTACCTGAGGCTTTGACCCACCGACAGTGTGACTTAGGGTGGGGCTGGCCACATCGAGAGACGGGCCACGTGGGGCTGTGGGTCCTGGCAGAGGGACTGGACCCTCAGATCAGCCATGTGGGAGTCCATTTATCAGTCTTGGTCACTGATGAGCCTCCCTGGTGACAACCACTAACTGTGAGCCAGATCTCCTGGGAGTCTGGGGGCCCCTGGGTGGAGTAGACATTTGGAGGGGGGGGGGTCTCTGACATCCTCCTGTTTGTCTTGCAGGGTTCTGCTGGCAGGCCACCATCACCGGCCCGGTAGGTAGTTGCCGCTGAGCGCCACCCCTGCGCTTCCTCCCTTGCCGCATGCTTCTGTGCGCACTAACTGCCTGTCTCATCTTCCAGAATGACAGTCCTTACCAAGGAGGCATTTTCTTCCTGAACATCCACTTTCCCACAGATTATCCATTCAAACCCCCAAAGGTGAGGACGGCTCAGAGTGTGATGAAGGGGCCCTTCTAGTCAGCGGTGCAGCAAGCTGCACCATCACAGCCCAAACTTGAAACCCTGGAGCCATCGGGGACGGTGCTCTGCCTGATTGTAGCTGCACCTGGCCCTTCTTTGCCGTCCCTCTCACTCTCGGCCAGGAGCCCTCAGCCCTGCCCCAGGGGCATTGGACACTGTCCTGGGATGTTTGGGCTGTAAAAACAGGACAGGCGGGGAAGGGGGATTGCTACTGGTTTCTGGAGGGGGAGCCCAGGAATGTTGCTCAGAACCTATGGCAGCGGTTCTCAACCTGTGGGTCGCGACCCCTTTGGGGGTCGAACGACCCTTTCACAGGGGTCGCCTAAATACATCCTGCATATCAGATATTTACATTACGATTCATAACAGTAGCAACATTACAGTTATGAAGTAGCAACGAAAATAATTTTATGGTTGGGTCACAACATGAGGAACTGTATTAAAGGGTCACGGCATTAGGAAGGTTGAGAACCACTGCCCTATGGGCTCAGGACCTGAGTGTCAGTGGGCCTGGCAGTCACCTCCCTGCACACACACCATCCCAGCCATGGGGCCTCAGAGGGAGGACAGCACCACCAACCGGAGGGAGAAGGCGGGAGGGGCCTGCTCCACACCCTGGCCCAGCAGGGCTGCCCATTACTCACCAGGTGCCAAAGGCCTAGGGCAGAGCCCAACCCAGAGGAGCCCTGCCTCTTAGGAACAGTCCTGTCTGGTGGCCAGCACCAAGAAGCACAGAGTGGCAGGGAGGGTGGCAGCGGGCTCATTTTGAGCAGGTCAGGGGCCCCAGGGTGGGGAGGAGGCCAGAGGAGCCCAAGGAGTTGTGCAGTGGGGTGGAGGCCACAGCAGTGGGCACATGGGGCTGGGGAGGAGAAGTGCATTTTGAGTGCTCACAGTGGAGCCAAGAGGACAGGCACAGGTCAGGGGCGGTCACAGCAATGTATGTGGGTCCACATTTTAGATTATTTTTCTGACTGTACAACTGGTAGATTGATTATTTTAAAATTAGAACCTTGGTGCCATAGCTGGTTTGGCTCAGTGGATAGAGCATCAGTTCGAAGACTGAAGGGTTCCAGGCTTGATTCTGGTCAAGGGCACATACCTTGGTTGCAGGCTCGATCCCCAGCCCTGGTCAGGGCGTGTGCGGGAGGCAACCAGTCGATCTTTCTCACATCAATGTCTGTCTGTCTGTCTCTCTCCCTCTCCCGCCCCTCCCTCTCTAAAAATCAATAAAAACATATCTTCCGGTGAGGATGAAAAGAACCGGTGCCTAAGCCCATTACTTAGGACACTTCCAGTGTGGCTGCCGCCCTTGTCCCTCCTCAGAGCCCACTCACTGCTTTGAGGGAAGTGGGTCAGGCCCCATGTTCAGAATGAATGGGTCAGGGGACTTCCCTCAGCTGTCCCACCCGAGTCCGGTCAGGGTTCAGGGTAGGGGCCCAGCTCATCTAGGCCCGTGGAGCCAGCAGCGGCCTCTTCCGCCTCCCTCGGTCCCTTTTCCAGAGACGCTGTCTAGAGCGCCCCTGTTGCTTGTCTCACTTGAGATCTCTTGTCTCTTCAGGTGGCTTTCACGACCAAAATTTACCACCCCAACATCCACAGCAACGGCAGCATCTGTCTCGACGTCCTGCAGTCCCACTGGTCTCCATCACTGACAGTGTCTGAAGGTAGCCTCACAGCAGCCCTTCTGCCCCCGCATCCCTGGGTGGAGACTGAGGCTCAGAGACAGCAGACAGCTTCCCACAGCTCCTGGGGGAGGAATTGGGAGACGCTGTTCCCACCCCAACCGAGTCCACAGGGTTCGGTTGCCTCCATGGGGTTATAGAGACCAGTCTAAAGGGGCTTCAGAAATGCAGCTATTCCTTCTGAACCTGAATGTAAACGATGTGAGTGTCTTGTCAGTGGAGTGGGTGGGATGGTAAAAAAAATCAGCCAGAGAGAAACAGGGTCCCAGAGCCCAAGAAATGAGCAGAGGGGAGTGTGAGGCGAAGCAGGCAGCAGAGCATGACAGGCAGCTGCGGGGAGGGGGTGGGGGCACGGGCAGCTGGCGGGCCAGGTTTTCAAAGGCTGCACGGTGAATACAGAGGGAAAGCTGCCCCCCTCCCCCCAATCCAGAGTGTTCCGAGTTCCATATCCTGATGAGGAAACAGGCCCCTGGGAATACACACCAAAGGTCTGTGGCAGCTGCAGCCTCCCTGGAGCAGCTGTGTCTGGGACAGCTCGGTTCAGCTGATAGATGAGCAAAGCAAATCCTTTCATGACTTTTGGGGTGTCAAGCAGAATAATTCAGACAGAAGAGAGCTTGAGTTGGGGGGCTCACCAGATCCAGGCAACCAGGCAGCCTCAAGGCTGACCCAGCTCTTCTTCTCTTCCCAGTGCTCTTATCCATCTGCTCCCTGCTCTGCGAGCCCAACCCTGACGACCCTCTGGTGCCAGAGATAGCTCACACCTACAAGGCCAACCGAGAGAAGTACGCGTCCTCTTCGGGCCCCTTCGAGCCCCAGTGGTACCCACCCTGATCTGGTGCCTCCTGGCGGACCAGGTTCCCTCAGACATCTTCCTGCCCTGCCCAGGCCGTGCGAGGCTGCAGGGGTGACTCTCTCATGAACATCTCCTTTGGCTCTGAGAAAAGGGAGGAGATAAAAGCAGTTCACCCTCCTTGGTAGTTCATCAGCTGTTGCCACAAAACCCTAAATTGTTGCCCAGCCTGTCCTTAAGGTCAGCAGAGTCACGGTCAGCCAAGAATGGGCTCAGAAGAACCTGACAAGAAAATGCTGGATTACATTCTAAACGTGATAGCATAGGACAGAGTGTCCTCTCAGATAGGCCAGGGTGAGGCGGAGGCCTCCTGATTGAGGCTCAGCAGTCAGCAGTGTGTCGCTGCCTTACTGACACACCCTCATGGCCAGCCCTATTTTATTTTATTTTTTTGTAGATTCCACATATAACT